AAAATACGTTCCCGCGGCTATGTACACTTATGAATATGATAAGGACGGTCGGCATCAATTCTAGTAGGGTAAAACGTAATTACGCTTTTGAAACGGTTTGTTTTGCCCGGCCATCGTTAGCTGAAGCTGTGTGTGAATGAGGCAGGGCTGCAGAGTATGAGCTGCTCCATCTCACATGCAGCCTCAGAGGGAGAGAGGTTCTCCGGTACAGCGTTCCACAACAACGATTAGCTGCTGCAGATGCGCCTTCCTATAAACCGGCTTAATTTTCAGCACAATCGGTCGATGCCGATTAATTAAAAAATGCCAAAAATCGGCCGATTAATCGGTCGGCCGATCAATCGGTCGACCTCTAATGTAAACAAACACTGAATACAACAATAAAAATGACCGATCAAGATCACTTTTACAATATTTATAAATATCATATTTATTTAATATTAAATAATGTATAGTATTATTTATATTCTATAGTATTAGTTATTTTTATATTTTCAGTTTTCATTTAAATTTTAGTTTAAATTTAGAGTTATTATTAACTAAACCTAAAAGCAAACAAAATTTGTTAACTAAAACAAAATAAATTTTAACTGAAGTAAAATAAAATATTAAAAAAACATTAAACTTATGTTATTTCAGCTAGTTGCCAAGGCAACATTTTTCATTTTCAATTAGTTTAACTTGATGTACTAAAATGACTAAAACTAAAATAAAAAATAATTTAAAAAAATTAATAAAAACTATTTAGACATACAGACTTTAAAAAACCACTAATAAAAATGAACAACAATATTACTAAAACTGTAAATAAAATTAAAATTAAAACATAACATATATAGAAAATTTCAAAATAAAAACGAATTCAAAATATTAAGAAAAACTATAATAGTATCTCAATGATACTAAAATAAAACTGGTAATTTTGTTATTTCTCTTGTTATTTTTATTAGTTTTTGTTTTAATTTAATAAAATAAAATAAATTAAATATTAAATTAATTTGCTTTAATTTATTTTATTTCAGTTTAATAAGTTTAAGCTTTAGTATTCTAAAAAAATCAGTTTTAATATTCTATTTCAGCTTTATTTCAATTAACAACAAATATTTTTCATAGTTTTAGTTTTAGTTAACAATAACAAAGGTGCTGATGAACAGATAATTTACCACTCATGAACCAGCATGTAGTATTTTTATTTTATTTTTGAATAAATTATAAATTTTAGTCTTCATGATAAAGGAATTATTTCACAGTTTTTCTATTTTATTTTATTTAATATTATAATTATTATAAATTCACGTAATTTGTTACAAATTCTTTTTCTGTTTATTTGAAGCAGTCACCTGCTGGATCAGGCTCAGAATCAATTAGAAAGAAAAACTAAATAAAAACAGCATGATGTAGTGAGTTTTCTTGCGATCACTGAGCACATGTGAATGTAATGGTGGCGTCGTCCACATCTAAGGGAAATGATGTCATCTGTGTAGAGGAAGTGAAGTTAAGCAAATGGGATTTTAATGGGAAAATGGGCCAATCTAGAGCCATTGGGTTCCTGTTATTGAGGCCCGTCTGAAAACCAGATGCTCGTGCAAAACATAAATAATCAAAGAAAGTCTCTGCAAATCAGGTGAACTGACTGAATCCCATATGAATAACTGTACTGACACACTCATTAATTCTACAGAGCTCACTGACTGAATAAAAACACTGTAATACGTCATCACAGGTCACTATTATAGACGTTATATGTCAGAAGATGAGATCGGATCCTGCTGGGAAGTCGCCTGTATGAGTTTGTAAGTCATAAATACGGCGCTGAAGTGATTTTGGTTGGAATAAACAAGAGCGGATTGTGATGCTGTGAGGGAAGCAGACTCTCATGACTCTCACTGATATAAGAAACAAAACCACAATTAGTGGACATAAATTCACAAAGCTGCAATTTACAAACAAAACATTTATAAGAATGAACATACGACGTACTGTACGTAATGCATCGCAGGAGAGGAGAGTGGAGCAGGACTGCGACAAGTCTTGAGCTCATGTTAAATGTTTTTATTGTTATCATACAAATAGCTTTTAATTTCACTTTAACAATAAGGCAGATAAGTTTTACACCAAATTGATGAATTTAAATGACTGAATATAGTTAATATTACTCTCAGGATTATAATATAATAACCCAGCCCTGCATAATTTTTGCTGAATATGTAAGTCGCTCTGGATAAAAGCGTCTGCTAAATGAATAAATGTAACTGTAAATGAACTCTATACTCGTTTCTTACTAATTCAATGCTGCTGATTGTAAAAATAGTGTTTTTCTCTCTCACGTCACACTATCTCATTAAATGTCTGCATTTCATAACATTTTTGCACATTTTATTTGATGCCTAATCCTGATTTCCACTTTGTCCACTACTTTGCAGATTGTATGTTAAATGATGAATTATGAATGCTTCTTTTTGTCATTAAAACTATTGACATTTAACTGTTTTTTTTGTCTTTTTTTTTTTGATACATACATTAAAGCTGATACATTTATTTTTAATAAGTTCACGTGTTATTGAAAAACAACAAAACAATAAATTTCAAATGTGACATGTGAACATGTTTTCTTGGATTGATCTCTTTTTGAAATTCTTAAAAAAATGTTTTTATATTTTTTAAATATATTTTCAAAAATATACAAAAATGGCCAAAAATATATTGGTAGAAAACTTATTGACATAAATATATTTTGAAATATAATTTCGCAAATATATTTTTTGGCCTTTTTTAAATATTTTTAAATATATATATATATATATATATATATATATATATATACACGTATTCAGGAGGCCTTTATTCACCTCACAGAGCCATATGGGACACTCTTTATTATGGATAGATGTGCTTTATTGGGCTTCTTTTGGACTATTGAAAAATAACACCCATTCACTGCCATTATAAAGCTTGGAAGAGCCAACACATTTTTTAATATAACTCCGATTGGATTCATCTGAAAGAAGAAAGTCAAATACACCTAGGATGGCTTGAGGGTGAGTAAATCATGGGGTAATTTTCATTTTTGGGTGAACTATCCGTTTAATA